TAATCATAAGACATAAGTGACTTGAATAATAATCATCATAAGACATAAGTGACTTGAATAATTGATAATTTTTGTTCCTTACGTTTGATCGAAAAGTGGTCTCCAACAAAGTTGTAGCTGAGAAAATTTTCAACAAGCTAAGCTATCATTTTCTAAAGTAGAGTAATATTCAAAAAATGTAAGCCTAACTCAGAATATCAAAACTGTTATAAGATATCTGAATCAGAAAATAAGGTCTATCAGTAATTTCTTATAACTTATCGTTGATATTCCTTCAGAAGGTTTAATAAATGGTCAGTGGTTTCTTATATGACACGATGTTTTGCTAGTTTTTAATAAACATTAAAGATTTTCTTAGCAAAATATTGCTTAAGTCCATTCGGGGGAATATGAGCACCGCTGATATTTCAACTTAAATTCTTCAAACAGGGGAGTTCGGTAGAAGAGATGATCAACCCGATTCGTGCCTTTCTTAAAAAATAAACCTTTGCTCGCTTTCTACTCTCTATATACAATTTTCACACTGCCATACTCTAGCGGAACTATCAACTCTATACTTTCATCTCCTCATCTATCGTATAAAATGACCACTTTAAGTCTGATGTTTGACGTTGAGCATCTCCAACTATGTTAATCGTTAACTTCACGCATGGGGTAATACAAACATGATTAGTTTAAGTAAAAATATTTGTCCAAGTCCATGAGCTACGAGAATTTCAACCATAATTTAATTTTTACAAATCTAGTTGATTTTTTCAAATTCTGGTATCTTAAACATTCTTCTCAGTTGCAGAATAAATTAATACAAATACTGATAATTTTGTAATTTGCTTCTATTTTCATATATTGGGAGGTTTTCTAAGACTTCAAATTTGTTGAAAAAAGTCGAACAAATTGTACGCTTATTTTATCAAGTCTCAGAATTTTAAAAATTGCCAGAAGTCTCTAGATCTTATAAATGTGATCAGTTATTATTTCAAGATCAAGATTTCTTACACAATTAGATCAATCTTTTACTTATCGTAATTCAGCCCACTAGGCTTCAGCATAAATATATTTGATTTTTTTTAAATTAATTTATAAATCTGAGGCTTGCAAAACTTTCGAATTCTAATCAAATGAATTCTAATGAAAAATACCGTAAGTCTTTAATCAGGACAATTGAATTTTGTTAATTAGTTTAAGGGAAGGGACTTTCGCCACTGCGTCATAATTTACCCATTAAATAATGAATCAATTTCACAATTTAACAAACAAAAAATACATAAAATAATATGATTAATTTTATAAAATGGATACCTAAAATTGCCTTTGAATCGTTACAACAGAATTTGAAACAATCGTTTAAAAGTTTGATAAACTATGTACACTTCAATTCTATTGTGATCAAAATGTAAATAATTTATAGTAAAATAAAATTTGTAGAACATTTAAGCCAATAAGTTTTTGAGAATTTTGTAATAATTGTGGTATCTTTAGCTGAATTGAAAATTTATGAAAACTATGATTCAGCAATTTCAATTCTGCGAATGTAAGGAAAGAGTATCCGTACCTCAGGCTGGGTACCGTAGGTGTACAATATTTAACATTTACTAATTAAGGAGGGGTTGAAAGTTACGATAAATGAATAAAGTGTTTAAATACCATCGTATAAATGATAAGTAGCATTTATGTCACCGAGTCACGCTACGCCCCTGCTTTTAGGAAATTTGGCATGGTTGTTACATGATAGCCTAAGCACGATCCTTACCTTCTGACAAAACTGACACTGGTAGGCACCTTTGCCGTCGTGCATCTTCTCGGCATGTTTCATTATGTTCTCCTTTCCCAAAACAGCAATTCCGCACACCTTGCAGTGATATTTCCGAATCGTCAAGCTAAACGCCGGATCATGAAACACCGAGCAATGTGTGCGATAGTACAAGGGATGATCGAACTTCAAGTTGCACCCACCACAATCTGGAAAATACAATTCCTTTCATTAATGTCTCCGTCCATTATCAACCTATCCCAGTTATCCTACTTGTTTTCTCCATCTTCTTCTTGCCCCACGCTGAATTGCTTTCTTCGCTCCAATAAAGCAGCTCACTGCCCACTTCCAGATCCGCACAGGTCACGAAAACTATCTCTTCGTCGCGAACTTTGAGCACGCAATTCTTCTGATCACGATGCCGAGCCGGTCTCAGGTATCGCAACCAATTGGCCTGATTCTTGTTCTCCATGTTTAGGTAGGTAGACTTCGTTCCATCGAACGTCTCAAAGATGTATCGCATGTTGCAATCATCCTGGATTTCCGTTTCTTTGGCTACTAGGCCTATGACGGGTCCAAGTTGAGTATATTTCGGAATGAAGATCTTCGTGTAGACACTCAGTCCGTGGTTGATCGTATTGGTAACCGTTGCCGTTGGAGGGGGAAGTTGTGGCTGTTGTTGTTGTTGTTCACTACCTGGTGGCGCTGCTAACGAGCACGATGACTCACTGGCATCGATCTGCATTTGTTGACTAATGCTGGTACTACTGCTGCCTGCAGTTGCAACTGTACTAATAGTCGTTGCCAACGGGGCCAAACGCAATTCAAACTCCGGTGGCAATGAAGTCTCCGAGAATGAAGGTATGATATCGAGTTTTTCATCGTATTGATTTTCCTCGTTTTCATCACCTTCGTCGTCATCCTCATCGTCGTCGTAGTTATCTTCGTTTTCATCATCCATTTCTTCTGGATTTTCTGGCTTGAGCACAATTTTGTGTTTCTTAATCAGATCCTCATTCTGCTCTATCCATTCTTTAAGCTCGATTTTGTTATTGATCACTGCCAATGGAGTGCTCAACGGACACGGATCAGTTCCGTGCTTCAAACCGCAACCCGTACAGGCTTTGTTTTTCGTTGTAGGTGCTTTTCTAGGCTTCTTCGGTGGTGGTAACAGTGGCTTGCGTTCATCCGTAGCCAACGGACTATATTCCTGTTCTTCGTATTCTATGCGAAGATCAACTGATCCAGTTTCTCTTTTCAATTTTCTACTCGTACCTAGCTTCGGATCGAAGGGTACCTTCCGGATGTCTACCTTCTTAATGTCAAGCTTATTATCATATGCTTCATCGTCCGACGGCCGATCGGAGTGTTCAGAGAAGTTCGAAGTCGTTGGCATATCTTCTCCAAACGATTTCCTCTCAAGTTTCTGCTTCTCCTCCAGTTCTGTCTTAATTTTCTCAGCAATACGATAATCCAACACTTCCGCTTCAGTATGTAACGAATCCTCAGACACCGATCCCATGGTACTACTGATGGAATCCTGCTGCACTTCATTTCCTTGTCCAACTCTGCCCGGAATCTTTTTTATAATATTTTGAACGATAAACTGTTCCTCGTCTTCATCGCCACCATCGGCAGCATCATCTTCATCCCTATGGCCGTCCTCACCGGGAGGCAAGGGAGATCTCAGCGGCTGCTGAGTCCGCGGACGTCGCCGTCGAAACTCAAACCCAGGCCCATTTTCGTTATCGTCCTCATCTTCGTGGAAGTCGAATATACCACCTCCGCCGCCGGAAGTGCGCAAGCTACAACTGCTATTGTTGTCGTTGATTATATTTACATTTTCCTGGAATTGTACTCTTTTGGTTTTCTTAGTGCTAGGTTTTCCGTTCGGTTGGTCGTTCTTAGAGCTGGCCAATACACCCGGCAGAACATCCTGCAGCGAATCCGAATCACCGTTTAAGCTGAAATGGTACAGTTAGAACATGGTTAGTGGGCGTTATGATCATGCTTTGGACATATTCAATTTATGTTTATCGATAAAATGCATTCAAATATGTATTCACTTATACGTTAACTGAATTTACGAAAATTTACTACATTGCTATTTTGCTAAATGCACAATTTCCTTTCTCCTGAACTACAGAAAATTTCCGAATCCGTTTTCCTTGACCTGATGAAAGGTTCAACCAACAGGGTGTTATAGACTATATGAATTAGGAAATCCTAAAATACTACAGATTTAATCCAATCGCATATAAGAATGAATTTAATCGTATGATTTTTAAAATTCATACAATATACAATGCAATCTTTTCACCTTTATACATACGATCTATCATTTTTGCAAATTACAGAGTACAAATTATATCGAATAATCTCAAAAGACTTGTCAAATTGAATTTGTCATTACAGATTACGTCGTATATGAGCATATCCATAATGACCGTACAATTCACAGCTACTACTCCGTGATTGACCACACCCAGCGATATTCGCACAATGAATCAAATTAATTAATGTTCGCTAACCTAAATAATATAAATTTCCAGTCCGCTAACATTTGATAACGGCACAAAAGCTTTTGTAAACAAACTTGTTAAGGTCATTTGCACGTGAACCAAAGTGCTAGCACCGTAAGATAAGAAGAAAATAGAAAATGTCGAGACAACACTGTATTTTTTTTTTTCGTTTTGCGTTGGAACTGCTCAGTGATTTCTCAAGAGACTTCATAGAGAATTCCGAAAAAAAATACTGCTACTTAAATTGTAGCATTTCTAGAAGATTCTGAAGAGAATTCCTAGTGTTTTTCAGAATATTTCATAGGGAAGCTACATAATAATTTACGAGATGAACTAGCCAATGAGCTAAAAATCACGCTAATAAAGTTTAAAAATAAGAATTTTAATACATTTCTGTGGTGAATTGCATAGGAATTCTAAGGAAGCTTCATTTATTCAATTAGAAGCCGAAATGAGTGCATTAAGGATCCGACGGTCACAGCACTTCATTGAAGGTGATCTGTGAGGACATATGAGCATCCTAAAAACGTTCAATATTGATTCTATTGTGTTACAAAATGAGGATTGGATGAAGAAAAATATCACTTCGATCGTCTTTACAATGTAGCAGATACGGATCGCGATTTGTGGGACAATGGGGGACCAAACATTCGTCCAGGATCAATTGTCTTTTATACAGACTGCTCTAAATTGGATAATCGTGTAGGAGCAGGGGTAACAGGTCCAGGTATAAATATCTCAATATCTATGGGCTACTGGCCTACCGTGTTCCAAGCAGAAGTCCAAGCAATTCTTGAATGTTCTCAAATTTGCTTGCGTAGAAATTATAGACATTCGAATATCTGCATTATGTCTGATAGCCAAGCAGCACTAAATGCTTTGAAATCAGCAACATGTAATTCTAAAATTGTATGGGAATGTGCAATGTCACTCCAAAAATTGGCCTGCCAAAACCAAATGAACCTATTTTGGGTTCCTGGTCACTGTGGAATTAAAGGGAATGAGAAAGCCGACACACTAGCTAGGCTTGGATCATCTCAACAATTTATAGGACCAGAACCATTCTGTGGAGTTTCTGCTTGCTCTCTTAGAATGGAGTTCAATAAATGGGAAAAAAATGAAAGTGGAGACCAATTGGAACAACACTCTCATTGCTAGGCAGTCGAAACGGTTTATTAATCCGAGCATTTCAATGACTAGCAAAATTCTTTTAAGATCTCAGTATGTACACTGGTTCAATAACAGGACACTGTCCATGTAAATATCACTTGAAGCTAATAGGAAAACTTCAAGATGACATGTGAAGATTATGTGGCATAGAAAAAGAAGACTCTGAACACCTGCTATGCTCTTGTACAGCAATCTTCAATAAGAGACGTATTTTTCTGGATAAGGGGCTGACAGAACTTTTTGATATTTGGAATTCAGTTCCCAGCCAAGTAGTGCAATTCATTCGAAATGTAATACCTGACTGGGAAAATGCTTTCGGTCAGTCTATGTCGGTCGCTTCATAAAAATGGTGTTACGACATGCTGATAAAGCAATATTAAAACGGGGAATATATCACAATAGATCTAAGTACTGGTTGCAGTGATCAAAATACCCAACACGAAAAAAAGACAAAAAGGAAGTTTAATGTGAATTTTAAATTTAAATTGGGAATTGAAAGGAAACTTCAGAGAATTTTGGGAGAATGCTTAAAAATTCGAAATGGATTCGAGTTTCGAACGCCTTTGGATACGGTTGTGTTTTACGTTTGGTCTCTGTTTTGTGCGTGCGTTCGCTTTCATCGTTTTCGGCTGCATTTGCCGGATTAGCGCTGGCGCTCTGCCTCCCGGACGGTCATACGTGTGTGATTAGTAGTTTCTCGCTTTCCGGGAAGTTTCATTGATTAGATTATGTCAAGTGATTCCAGTGAAAAAATTTGAGGAATTTTTTTCCTTGATTTGTTTTCCGCCGATCTTGTTTTCCGTGCTGAGCACCAATGCTACCGACACCAGGGAGGCAGCTCCAACACCTGGAATCTACCTTTTGACCCATCAACCCATGAACCGGGTGCAGCTTTATTTCCCTCCCGAAGGAAGGCGTGATCAGAGATGTTATGCCTCAACTGTGCAAAATTTGGGGACGATTGGTTATAACGCGGCTTTCCGCATTGCGTTTGAAGTTTGTATGAAAATTAATATGGAAAAACATACTTTTAAGCATTTACATTCCCAAGGACCACAATTTTGCTTGAAACATGTTACAAGTCATGTAAAAAAAAAAATAGTGACCAACAACTTTACCGAAGGATGTATGGTGCTAGAATGTCTCTCAAAAAACGTTGAAACTGTTCAAATATCGATGTATCGAATTAAATGCCAAAAATCGGTGTACCAATGCACAGTGGTCCAGAATGCAGATTTAGGTGGAATGATATGTTTTGAGCCTGAAACTGAAACTTTAGACTAAAAGTTTCTTCTACAAAGTTATTCCTTATAGTTAGCCCCTCATTTTTATGACAATGTATTCTAGGGTGGTTCCTATTATCATTAAAATCAAAAATCTAACTTTTTTGTTTGAATAAATTAAGGTATACATTCTTGGGCAAAGTTATAGTTGAGCAAATTTCAAGCAACATTGTTGGAGATAACTTTTTTGTATCTCTTAAATTGGCCGATTTAGAGCTATTTTCTTGAATTGAGTTAGGGTGGCTCTTGAAAAAACAGATTTTTTCAAAAAAAAAATAGATCTTAAAAGGCGCAAGTTTTTGCTGCACAAAGCTTGTCAATATCTTTCGCCGATCAAGAGTTATTGACGTTTTTATACTAAAAGTATGCACTTTTAAACTGTTAATATTTCTGGTTAGGGCAAACAAAAAAAAGGGTTTTTTACGGCATTTGAAAGGGCGTATGTAATTCTCAATATTATGACAAAATTGGAGGTATTTTATTTTTTAAACTCGTATAAAATCAATTTGAATTTAGTCATATTTTTTACTATATTTGGGTATATCTTTTTTATTAGAAGAGATACAGGCAACCAATTCAGGTATAAAACATTCGTCTAAAAGAGTTTTAAAATTCTCTACTAGATAACTTTCATGAGAAATTTCAAATAAAAAAGTGTTTGCCCCAACCAGAGATATTAACATTTGAAAAGTGCATATTTTTAGTATAAAAACGTCAATAACTCTTGATCGGCGAAAGATATTGACAAGCTTTGTGCAGCAAAAACTTGCGCCTTTTGAAGATCTAAAAGTTATCTCACGACATCTTTGCTGAGAAATTTGAAATAAGAAAACTAGAGCAAAAAAACTGTTTTTTCAAGAGCCACCCTAACTCAATTCAAGAAAATAGCTCTAAATCGGCCAATTTAAGAGATACAAAAAAGTTATCTTCAAACAAAGTTGCTTGAAATTTGCCGAAAAATGTGTACCTTAATTTATTCAAACAAATAGTTAGATTTTTGATTTTAATATAATAGGAACCACCCTAGAATTCATTGACATAAAAATGAGGGCCTAACTATGAGGAACAGCTTTGTAGAAGAGACTTTTAGTCTAAAGTTTCAATTTCAGGCTCAAAACATATCATTCCACCTAAATCTGCATTCTGGACCACTGTGCAATGAAAGTAAGATTGCATGCTGAAATAATTTCGGAGCTTCTTATCATATAAAAATCATATATAATATATGTTAATTCTTAACTGCAGCAGGAGCTTGTGTTTTGTGTAGGAATAGAAATTTAAGCGGGGTTCTCTCTGTTTATACTCTTTAGTATGACTGCAAGAACCTTTTGATACGAATTTTAGTTGGGACATGTTCAGAAATTTAACTCTTTTGAGAAATTTTGGTGGCCCTGAAAAGGGCCGATGGTGGTACAGACTTAAAGCCTTTGGAAGATGATGATGACGTGTAGGCAACTGGATCAGCAAATCGGACCGGACAATCCCGTATTCTTCGGTTCAACGATTGGGCACTCGTAAGATTCTCGGCCCGTCTGCAGCTGGACAGGGGTTTAACTGGTGTCTGCGACAGATTGGAAGGCCGCAGCGAGGGAAACCTCAACCTTGCTACGATGAATGGGCACTTAAAAGAATCTCGGCCCGGCTACTGCTGGACACGGGTTAATCCGGTGGCGGGAAAGGTGCAGCAAAGGATACCTCAACTTCGCTACGAGAAATGGGCACTCAAAAGAGATTAGAAACTTGGTTGCTATCGTTTTGCTGGTTCCTTTTGCTGATCGTCACGATGGTTCTACTTCTACACAGGGGTAGTTGCTTTATTGGTTATGTGACTAGATGAGTGAAAATGAAAAATACACCAGAGATTTTCGAAAATGTCATTGAGGTTTAGTGTTTACCTATGATTACTTGATGATTAAATAAAAATAATTGCAGAAAATAGGGCACGGCTTGTTGGTTGTGAACATGCTACGACGAATGGGCACTTGGAAG